GGTATATAATCTAAACCAATTAATCTACGCAAAGCATCAAAATTCACATGTCCTAATCTACCATGCCATAAATTTGACTCAAGAATATAAACAAAAGATGTGTTATTCTTATTCATAGCAACTTTCGGTACAACTGTCATTACATTTAACTTAAAGAGACCATCACTCATGTATCTATTGGATACTAAAGATTCAAAATCCACTAGTGGATATGTCTTTACTCTAGGAGGCGCTGCTGTTTCTTGGAAATCCACGAAACAAACTTGCATCGCACGATCCACAATGGAATCTGAGTTCATTGCTTTAGACAAAGCAGGTGAAGAAGCAGAATGGCTTCGTCACTTCTTAGAAGACATTCCAATGTGGCCAAAACCTGTGCCAGCTATTTGCATTCATTGTGATAGTCAATCTGCAATAGGCAGGGCACATAATCATATGTATAACGGTAAGTCACAACATATTCGTCGTCGACATAATACCGTAAGGCAGTTGTTGTCAAATGGAATAATCTCAATAGATTATATAAAATCTAAAGAGAATATTACTGATCTATTAACAAAAGGTTTGACAAAAGAACTAGTGTATAATTCATCGAAGGGATGGGATTAAAGCCTATTACATAAGAGTCGTCATAATGGTAACCCTACTTATATGATTAGAGATCCCAAGAACTAAGTTCAAAGGGACAACTAAGTTATGTATGGCTCGCCAAAAATCACCAAGGGATTAAAATTCCCTATCCATTTCTATGGTGAGAGTGATATCTACAACATGTGTTGTCTGCAGGGGTATAAGGATAAGCTTTGCTTTTAATGATTACTTATATCTTTATTAAGGCATAAAATCAAGACGAGCATAAGGAGATACTCACAATAAGAATCACCTATATGAGTGTCGAACTGGGGCCGGTTCTATGAGAATGAAAAGGCTAAATTCTCTAGAAACATTCATGAAAACCAGGAGCGTTCAAGGCAAAAATAAACACAACAGTGAGAACCACGATGTGTTAGAAGATACTTTGTGTGAAATCTATTGTCTTGGCTTACACAAACGGCTGAACAATTCAAGGCATTGCGTCCATTGGTTAGCCAGTAAGTCCGATAGGTTATTACTAGGGAAGGTTCAAGGCCAAAAGCTACCTATCCTGATACAAGATATTTTCGACTTATACTCTTTTGATAAAGTCTGCATATTGTTGCATTTCTGTTGTCATCAAATTCCATTCATGTGGGGGATTGTTGGAAATGGTTATAAAATTCTGGGTAAAACCAGAATTTTTTCCTAAGTTTGGTCTATTTTTTTAGGTGGGCCCCGTGTGTCAATTTTCACGGGTCAAAGTAGTAATGCGTTCTATGCTGCGTTGTGATTCACGTGATATATTTGGTTGCTCAAAACCATTACCGAGTGAATGGGAAATTGAAGCCAAAGTATGCTCCATGGAAATGGAGTTTTGGTGAAAAATCCTTAAAGGTATTGAATAAGGCTTGTCCCACGTTGATTTGATGGGAAGTTTTGAATGGGTTTATAAGGCATAGGTTTGGTACTTGGGGTGTGCCCCAAGGGGTACCCAAGTGTTTTAGAGGGAGAGGTTATGGGCAAAATGGGATAGACCCATTGGACCCAAAAATCCACCACACACGCGCGTGCCGCCGTCGCCGTCGGTCGGGCGAGTGGGCTAGGCTAGGCCTGGGCTTGGGTGCGGGTGCGTGGTTGGGTTGGGCTTGTTCGGCCCAATACTAATCTTTTTGGGTCAAAAATATTTGAATTTAATTTTATTTTTGGTAAAATAAAATTCAAAATTCAAATTAAACCGGAAATAAACTGGTCCGGTTTTACTGGACATCCAAACAAGGCCTTTCCCGTTTTTTATCTGTTTGAATTATAAACCCAACAGATTCAAATCTGTTTGAATTCAAAACCAACAAGTTCATACCTGTTTAATTCAAAATCTGCAGCCATCATTACATCTATAAGTAGGACAACCCTCATTTGATGTTTGTGATTCTGAAAATTCATTATTTTCGTCCTTAAGAGCTCTGCAAATTCATTCTTCATTTTGTTGCATTATTTTCTTGTAAGAAAGAGTGTAAACACTTAGTGTGTTCGTAAGACAAACAATTTGTAGTGCTACTATTATTTGTAGTAGATCATTTTATCCTAGGAAATAGATGTCCAAAATCTGAAAGCACCGAGGAGATAACGAATCTGTCTTAAGGACACAGTGTCAAACACTGGACATGATCAGATAATTATTCAAAAAAATTAATCAAGTAAGTTGTTTAATTTATTATTCTGTTTTATTTATTTATTTAAATCAGATTTTAATTTTGTTTTTGTAACAAAATAAAATCTGTTTTTATTTATTTTGTTTTATTTCTAGTTTGATTTTTGTAATCAAACAATTTCTCTAATTTCCTTTATTTTTTTATATTCTAATTGTTGTTTAGTACACAACAAAATTTAATCTACTTAAATACAATGAAGATTGTCCAACAAACAAAACAAAATCAAAGTTTTTTAATAATTATTAATTAACTGTTAGTTAGCACAGTTTAAGCTTTCATGAGAGTACACTTTAATAACTTAATGGACTTACTTTTTTGTATTTTATTTTAATACATAAAGTTTAATATTCTAATTGTTGTGATGCACTTTAAAATTTTGTATTATAAATTTTTGTGTAATGAATTTTAAATATATCACTACGAAAAATTAAAGTTCCGGAGATCAAAATTTAGGGATAAAATTATTTTTTAAGAACTAAATATTTTTGTTGTTTTTTGGACCAAATTTTTTGTCTAAAAAAATAAACCTTTTGAGACCAAGTTATATTTTGTCCCTAAAGGTGTATTTATTAGTGACATTTTTTAAATTTTGTAGCAAAAAACTTATTTTTTTACATTTTGGAATGACCTTTTAGCAGTTATTCTCAAAACGATAGAAATTGATTTCTAATTATCTTTTGTAGTCAAATTTTTACTTTTAAACATTAAAAAATTTAATTTTTAAAACTCTTGTATGTTATAATGTGTGTGTATATATATATATATAAAGAAAACTCTAATTAAAATTAGTGTCAAATTAGGTTCATATGCGCCAAACCCGGCGAAACTTACAAGCCCATAATTTTAAGATCATGGGTAGGACTTCGGCTTTAAGAATTTAAGATGGGTCAGCGAAAGTTTGGCACATTGATTACTCAAAGTCCATAGCCTAAGCCTTAAATTTTAGGGTCGGGTTGACCGGCACAAACTGTGACCGAAGCCTACTTTTATTGAGTCATTATTCATAGCAGGTGTTCGAGAAATGTGTTTTTTTGTAGGTTTTTTTAGTTGTAAGATATTATTGGAGAAATTTTTTTTTGTATCTAGGAAAATAGTTAGGTTTTTTTGTGGTTAGATGAGATGTTTGTGAGAGAAAAAATGAAATGATTATGAAATTTGATGTGATATTTTGTTTAAATATATATATTTTTTTGATTTTGTAAAACATTTGTCTTGTAGTGAAAAAAAACAAAAAAAAAATCTCAAAACCAAGTTTCCAAACACTGCTATAGTGACTTTGGATCTTCTGTTCATATTGTTTGTTTCAATTTATTCTACTCTTGTAATGCTATAATATATTTATAATTTGAATTTAATATAATTCATCTTTTAATGATTTAGAAAATTTAATTTAATTTTGAATTTAAATTTTGACGAGATGATCAAATTAAAAAAAGAGCATAGGAAAGAGAGTCAGGACCAAAAAAAAATGAGAACAGAAATTGGGTGCATACAATTTGGAGGGATGTAAATGTAGGAAACAAGTGGAGGGAGGCACCTTGAGATAGAAAAGTCCAAAGAAGTTTGAAGGGGGGAGCTGTGAACCTTTTCCTTTGAGATATTTTGAACCCATAAACATGACATGCAACCCCATCCCAAACATCAGCATTGCTGTTCCTATGAGGAACATATCTGCATCAAATGATTCAATCATTTTCTATCACTAACAACACTACTACTACTACTACTACTACTACTACTACTACTTGCTTTAAATCATTATTAATGAGTTGGTAAGCACTTTAAATAAAAAAAAAAAAAAAAAAAACAAGACACAAACAGTGGATCCCGTCCATTGCCACATCACTAGTGGTGCTTTTAGAGCATCACTTTTAGTGGTCTCAAGCATTATTATTAATTTAACCCAAACAGCAGCCCTTACCTTTACTGATTCAACAAGACTTTAACCAATTTAGTGACTTTCTTTTTTTAAAAAAAAAATTCAAATTAACATTATTAATTGAATCAAATTGACACAAAATTTAAAATTAAAAGTCAAAATCAAACTAATTGAAATAATAGGAATCAAAATAACACAAGAAACAAAATATAAGAACTACTGACGAATTTGTCAAAAAAAAAAAAAAATGTGAGAGAGGATACCTATCACGTCTCCTTGATCTGAACTTTGGGACAATGAATTGAAATAGCTGAAATAGGATTCTAGAACCATGAAACAACCCTGGAATTACATTGTGAAATTAACATCACAAGCACATCAGAAACAGAGGAAAACGACAAAAGAAAGACATTATTTTCTTCCTAATTCAATTTGAGAAAATAAGTAATTAAATTCATGCATCTTACATTCATTATGCACCTCCACAAAACACAATATTGAACCAAGGATTCCACAACAGCGAACAACGTAAAGAATCAACAGTCAATAACAACCTACACAATATATAACAATTAGTGAGTTTAAATGGACAAATGATATATAACAATTCTGATGATATCAAGATAATAATTCACTGTCAGTTGATTCAATCTCATGGGCAGTAGTACTCCCATTTTACATGCTGATTAAAAAAAAAATACTCCCATTTTACAAAGAAATAGAAAAAAATTATTATGTTGTACAATGATATCTTTCTTTCAAATGTATTCCAAATTTATTAATACAAACATAGTTCTATGTGTATTTGGTATGTTTAAACATAGTTGTATCTTGGAAATAATGTTTGCAACGTTAAAATACGATCTACATCTAAGTTTTGTACCTTATAGTTTGTATATTTAGCTTATATTTGTCAATGTCCCTAGCATTATTCATATGTTTGTGCATTTTTATCACTTACAAAGAAAAACTTCAACAAAAGAAATGTACTTGGTGCTTGTATGGAAATGAACCAATCATGTAGACACCATGTTCTTGTGCTCAAATCTCATTCCCTATCGTTGTCTATAACGTAAGAAGCTGGGCCATGTCCCTTGCATATAGTTTCTGTAATCATCGGTTAATTATATCTTTTCCACATCACTAACTTTAGGAAGTGGGCTTCTCCATCATTTTCTAATAAAAAATATGTTTGACCAACTTTTTTAGAAATTTTTTTCGACAAAACTTACATTTTAAAGAACACTAAAAAGATAAAATAATCTTCACACAAAAAATATAAAAACAATGTGTTATCAGATTTTTATTTATTTTACTTCTAAAATACAAAAAAAAAAAAACTAAAGCCAAAAACAGAAACAATAACAAACATGCCCAAGTTTCTCAGTGTGTACAGTTAATTCCATTTGTCTTATTTTGTTTTAAAGCTCAAATACAGTTATTCAGTTGTTTTGTTATTTGTGTTTTTATGTTTTTAGTAAAAAAAAAATCTTCATATTTTAGTTTTGTTTTATTTTTAGATTCACCTAAGTTAGATGTATTTAAAAAGTAAAAATATTTGTAAAACAGAAAATTAAAAACCAAAAACAAGAGCAAATAGACTGATTCGGACAATACAGACTAATTTGTTATGCGTTATTAATAATCAAACAATTAATACATATTTACTCAAATAGTTAATATCTGGTCAGTCCAAGTTTATTTAATCAGATCAGAAAATTATTAATAAATAAAATTTTTATATAGAAAACACATCCAAAATATTTGGCTTTTAACAAATTTTAAATTATGAGGTACAATTGTGGTGTTAAAAAATTAAAATAAATAAATAAACGCACCCTTTCAATGAGCATCTGGGGATGTAATTTCCATGGCCTTGGTTTAGCAACGACCCTTAAGATCAGAAGCGCCGTAAAAGTAACCTTTGCAAGCAGAGAGGCCATATCTATTACTCCTGCATTTGTTTGGTGCGGCGGCTTTGAAGTTTTTAGGACATTACTACTCTCCGAAGCGGCCACAGACGCCTTCACCATCACCACCGACAGTTTCTTCTTCTTGCTTAGCCACGGCTTCTCTTCTTCGCATACACACCTTATCATGACAGTCATTGTCGATGACAATGCCAAATTATTGAGTTTTTTTACACGAGTAATATATGAAGAAAAAGAAAAAGAAGAAAGACCAAGACCCAAAGGCTTAGAACTATTTGTAAGTTTTCTGAATGAAATATATTCAATTGTATATATTTGCAAAGAGGACAGCGGTTTATATTGCCTAAACCTATGACCTGAAAAAGGAAATATAAAGAAAAAGAAATTGCCTAATTCCTAATATACACAAAGAAGAAAAGGAAATTGTCTAATTCCTAATATACGCAATCATGCCATATATACAATATATATTAGAGAGAGAGAGAATTCGAGGCATAATTGCTGGAGCTGTCTTTACGTAGGGGAGGGGAAGGGAGAAGTTATTTTCTGGTCCTTAGGTACCGCTATATAGTGGTTCAGATGTGTTTCAATTGGTGAAGAAGCAGGGCCGGCCCTGAGTTATTAGGGGCTAAGGCAAATTTTTTAAATTGGGATCTTCATGTATCATTATTTTAAAAAAAAATTGTTTGGATAAAATAAAAAGGATAAAAATTTACTTCTATTGCATTACAATTTAACAAAATTTAGATAACAAATATATATATATATATAATAGTTGAATCTCAATTAGTTGAATCGAATCTTTATTTTTTAACTTACCAATGCTATAAGAACAAAAATTAATTAGGGGGTAAGGATGAGAATTTTCAACACAATTCAAAATATATAAAATTAGTAAGTTAGGGTTGACTATTTTTTAACATGAATCTAAGTATGACACGATTCAATAATATGAATTATTAGTTATATATTTTAATGTTCATTAAGGGATGCGATGACATTTTTTTAATCTTTTATTTAATTTCATCTAACTGAATAAAAAAAGTATGTAAAATAATAATTAAGGGTTATATCTTTTTTTCATTTAAGATATGTATTTTTTTGTTACCTATTTTAAAGTCAATCTAATAAAAAATATATAGTAGTAAGGTACAATTTTTTTTAATTAGAAAAATGCAATTGAATTAAAATCAAACATTCTATGAATAATTTCATTTAGTAAAAATAAATTTTATAAAATTCAACTTATGGGAAAAATTTTAATCTCTTCATACACTTGCTAAGTTATTTTTAACTAAAAATAAAAGTTTTCACATTAAATATCAATCGGACACGAATCAAAATAACATCATACAACAGCATGAAAATAAATGAATTGAACTAATTTTAAAATAATTATAAAATAACACGACATGATACACTCTCCTAATTAGGGATCCTAAATTTTATTTAAAATTGGGGGCCTGAGGCGATTGCCTTAGTGGCCACACCTCAGGACCGGCCTTGTGAAGAAGGTGTAATTTAAATTTTTGTATCGAATAATTAACAAACAATATAAACATAACGTATAATACTTAATGAAGAACATGAACACGTGGTGTTCCGGAACACTAAATAATTTTTTTAGGGGAGGGAGTGACTTTCGCGGTCTTTTGCACTTTTCTTGGAGAGGTAGGTTTTGAGTTGAGTTGCCAATCGTCGAGCGTTCCAAATCCATGACTCTCGTGTACTGTATTGTATATATGTATGTGCTGAGCTCAGCCTGTGGGTCCAATGCAGTTAAGAGCCGAACACCTGTAATATTTGGAATTCTCTATTAAAAATTAAAAAATATATACATGCCTGTTTTTTTGACTGACTTTATAGGTAGTATAAGGAAGATTATTGATTGATAATTACATAATATATGAAAGAGAAAGTGGACTGAGATCCTCTTTATTCTTCTAGGATTGTAACGAAGGATGCTCTTTAAATTATAGAGAATTTACGTATAGGTTTTAATAAGTTGGCTTATCATTCAATAGGTCATGTGAGAATTAATGACATTTTTTATCAAATACTATTAAAAAAAGTCACTAATTGTTAATTTTCTGTAACAATTTAAAAATTGTCATAAAAAATGTCACTAATTATAAGTTTAGCAACAGTTTAAAAAAATTGTCACAAAAATGTAATTAATTTTCAACTTTAAGTGACAGTTTGAAAAATTTGTCACAGAAAAACGTCATTAATCGTAAGTTTAAGTAATAATTTATAAAAATCATGACAAAAAGTTATTAATTGTCAATTTTTAGTAACATATGCACACAAAAAAAAAATCGTCATAAAAAAATAATTTTAGCGATAATTTTATTATGACTTATTTTCACTAGAACTTGATGAAAATTAAATTACCCTTAAATTATCTAAGAATCGTGAATTAATCATGACAATTTATTAACATTTTAATCAAACGTGTAGATAATATAATATAGATCCTTCATTACAACTTCAGAATAGCGAGAATCACAATCCACACCTTTGGAATTGAGAAGATTACAAGAAAGTTTCCTTAGATATTCTAGTTAGTTATCACACACCTAGATTAAAAAACTAATCTAATTTTTAGATTAGAATAGCAATCGCCTAAAAAATTTATTCACTATACTCAATACATAAATCAAATTATCTAAACTTTTTACCTAAAAAAATTCCATGTAATTTTTTTTTATCAAATTAAACTAAATTGAATTAACTGTTGTGTTCCAAAGGGATCAGTCACAAGAATGTGTTGAGCTCAGCAGACCGAAAAATTTATTAGCTATTCACATCGAGATCTTCTAAATTATTGAAAAGTATTATTTTGATTTTTTAAATTATAAAATTATATAAATGGACTGTTTAAATTATAGAAAAGTATCACTTTGTTTTCAAAACTATAAAAGCATACAAATAGACTCCCTGAACTATTAGCGTGTTTCACTTTAACACCTTCTATTAGGAGGGTAAAATGATACTTCTCAATAATTTAAGGGTTCTATTTATATGCTTTTGTAATACCCATAATTTTATCCTCCATTTATAATTAAAACCATTAAATATTTTCCAATCATTCAATGAACACTATTAAAGAACATGGTTATTTACACAAAAGAATATCTTTCTCGTTGAACTATTCCAAGTGAATTGCACATCATTGTTCCTTTAACATATAATCATGAGTAATACCAGATTAAAGAGTAAGAGAAAATGAAAGTATAGTGCCCTAATGGTATACACATTTTCAAAGATAGTCATTGATTTCACAAAAGTGCACATTTAGTCCCAACCCACAAAAGAGCTTCAGAGCTTCGGCAAGTAATATCTATTGAGCCTCGGTGCTCCATTCAAAACAAGTCCATGCCAGGTCACTTAGGCGAAGCCACACCATCAATTTCTGAAATGTTGTTAGTTTGGGGTTAGTAATGCCTAGTAGGAAGTAATATTAACAAGACAAATAAATAATCGAGATATATATGATCATGTCATGCACTTTTTAGGATAAAATTCATATTTTATATTTTAAAAACCAAAAAATGTTTAATGCATGATTTCCATTCAAAGGCTCATCTACAATCATAGGGTGGTAAATACGTTATGACGTCTTAAGCAAGAGTTACAAAACTATACATACATATATAGATTTATATACAGAAAAATATTTTCACATTTGCCGACTTTAAAAAAGGAGGGCAATGGGCACCCAAAACATTACCCTTCCACATTTGTCGACTCTTAAAATGGCAAGCTTGTGGACACCTAAAAATCATGTTTTTCCACATTTTTTTATTCAAAAAACAGCGGGCTCGTAGACACCCAAAAACCTTTTTCCACATTTGTCTGGTGATAAGCTCAAGACAGGACAATTGGGCACCTTGACTACCCATGTGAGCACTAATACAATACACAACTCGTACCCAAAACTCGACTCCACTATTCATAAGTAAGATTTAATAACACCAACAACAAGAGATTTCTCCCAACTTCTCAATTCCACAATTTCAACATTTATCTATTTCAAACATGTATCCAAGAAGGTTCACAAAACCTCATCTTTCGGCACTATTACCAAAATCATTCACCAAATTCTGAGATTTAAGAATAAATTAAACCAAGCACCATTATAAAATCAAGTTTCAAAATTAGGGCTTTTGAGAAAGTTTGGGCTTTTCTCTCTATTACACTTAAGGAGTCAATATTCATCAACAATAATCAACAAGATACATTTATAATCTTCTCCAAAAACATTAGGTATATGCCCATTTTTTATTATCAAACCCACTGTATATTACAAAATCATCTCATACATCACTATAACTAGGAAAATACCACACACACATATATATATATATATATATATATATATTTTTCAAATCATAGATATATTAAGTTAAAAGTATCCCTATCTCAAGAACGAGAGCAAAGAAGCAAGCTTCAAGAAGAACTCTTCATGAAATCAAAATCCAATTGATGATAATCACAATCTCCACGTGGCCTTCGCTTTTTGCAAGGGATCTAGGCTTGATTCTTGGTGAGAAGAAAGATTGCTAGAGAGAGAAATTAGGGTTTTTCGAAGCTTATGAGAGGAGAAAGAAGGAGAAAAAGGAAAAAGTGAAAGAAAAGATTAAAAAAAAAAAAGAAGTAACTTTTAAGTTGTTGATGAAAAATCTAGAAACCCCCTAGATGTTGATTTGTGATTATGTATCAATTTTAAGCAGTAAACAACAATCCCAATCAAACAAACAAGACAAATCGACACAACGATTTTACGTGAAAAAACCACAATTGGACACCACCAATTGTGATAAAAAAATCACGGGCAACAGCCACAAAACAATCTACTAAGAAGATATAAAGGAATTACACAGATATACTCTCAATTACCTAGTGAATCCACGCCCGAATTGAACCAACCCCTATGTGCCTCTTCTAACCCCGTCTTCACCTCGGAATTGTCTTGACGATGAGCCACTCCAGAATCCACCAAAGTTTCAGGCTCAAATTCTTCAAAATCTACCGAAGAACAACTCTCTCGTTTGTGTAGAACAAACACATAATCCTTTGATGTATACTCTTTAAACCATGAGTTGAGCACTCAATTAAACATCAAAGAAAACCAGCAAAATATCTCCAGATATAAACTTTAATATCCAAAAACA